AGAGAGAGAGAGACAGGGACGAAGAAAGGGGGTGGCACCTGAGAAAATACAAATGGCGACAGGGTCGTGGAGACAGTGCAGCACCCCGTTATCACAAAACGTCTCTGTATCGAAGTCCCTCACAACAGGCAAATGACGTGATCACTGTGAGTTGGACAACTATACACAAATATAGCCGCGAGAAGAGGCGAAGTGGTGGGAATAAGAGAGGGGGGAGAGGAAATAAGCATGAAAAAGTGTTTCTGTGAGTACTTGTGCGAATATATATGTAGGTTTATGTACAGGGATGAGATTGTAGGGGCATGGGGTGGGCAGGAGTAGAGAAAAAAATAAAGGCCTATCTTGAGAAAAGTTATGATGATGATGGTGCCAAATGACGCGTTCTCTTGCTGCCAGCCTGGTTTTTAAAGCCAGAAGCAACTAACTGTTTGAATCACAGCGATGAGGAGATGTACAGATGGTTAAGCCGCTACCAGGCAACGGCATTCCACAGCGCAAAATGTACAGCAGGGAGGTTGGGGGAATGGGAGCGAAAGCCACTACAACAGTCCGCTTCATCTTGGGGCACAGAATTGCAAACAAGAAAACGCCGTAAAAGGCTATGAGTTGCAAGTACTGGGCCTCGTCTCGCGGTGGACATGGGCCATCAGTTGCACGGCCGGAGGCCTGAGCAGTAGTGGGCATACCCTCACGGGAGGGTGAAATAGCTGCAAATCATGAGAGGAGCAACATATGGCAGCACTTAGTATAAATCGACTGAACAAAGTAGATTTAACTAATATAGACATGTGCAGATTGTAGTCCTAGAAATGCGCGTCCAGCAGGAGTAGACGCTGGCGGGGAGAGGGGGGGATGGGCGGTCAATTAATTGGTTGGTGTGGCAGCCGAACGCTGAGCTTCAGCCAATCGCCTACACTCACGACTGTGCTGACTGGTCCAGTGTTTTAGCTGGCATTCCTTGGAACAGTAGGCCACACCGGCACAGCAATGATAGAGTGCCTCCTTCAAACAGATGACACACCAAGACCGTTTTTTGCACTCGCAAATCTCCATCTTGTGTTCATGTTCCAGCTTGGACACATAACTCTCCATTTGTGACAACTTCTCACGGGCACGATCTCGCTCCAGAATGAGCGCCTCAATGCGTTCATTCAACTTTTGACGGACGCGCTCCTGTAGGGAAAAGGTAATGGCAATCAGTAAGACAAACGAGCATTCGCAACTTCAAAACAGCACGATTGCGTGGCGAATTTAACAAGTATTTAAGACGACAGTACGACTGTGGCAGTCTGACTAGGTCCAATACAGCCATAAATCTATGTATAGTGTCAAGAAGACCGAATGCAGGATCAGGCAAAGATAAGAAAGGTACTGAGAAGAAGACGACTCGATCGCTGGGGCAATACTTTTATTCGCCTAACGGATGTC